CCTGCTCCCATTCAAGTCAATTGGAGTTTTGCTGTGGATTTCAACAGGAGCAGGATAAACCCTTAAGAGCCAAACTGCTCCAGGCTGAATCAATACCAAAAGCCAAAAAAAAATCAGAGCAACTATTGAACTTAGTGGAATTATTTTAGATATTTGTAAAACTAATAGAATAGTCTGTCTGTATTGCGTATCAAGTTTCAGTAACTCCTATGAGTTTATTTCTTGTGAAGACTGTTGAAGCTACTATACCCCTGCATTTAGCATCTTAATACAGTTTTGGTTTTGAGTAAGTCCATCCTTCTTTTAAAAAAAGGGAAAAAAAAAATCTGATGTTTCCTGATCAATATAGTCACAGATCTCCCAAATACTTCATGTTTAACCCAAAAGAGAGGGCTATTTGATTTCTTCAGTATATGGTGATCTTTTCACTCATGCTCTTGAGTTTAGAAGTTTGGGTTTAAGATTTAAGAATACTATAGCTACATCTTTGGCAAACATTCACCGAACAAAAACCTGTGTTCAATGTGAATAGTAAACAGGTGAAGTATTAGAGCTGGTCAGGCTAAACAGGAAACACTTGTGATACTGTCTGTATTAGCCTACTGTGAAAGTGCAACTCATCTAGTTCTCTCTGGAAACAAAATAATGCAGTTTTGAAAAGCTAAGAGCTAGATCTCTATATAGCAAAAAGAAAAAAAAACCCCACCCATGTTACAAACTGAAGGTAAGCAGATTAGAGTCAGAAATATAGATGTCTGTAGTTTATAAAGACTAATTTATTAGGCTGGCGCAATTAGTGTTTGAAGGCTTTTAACATACTACAAACTCTAGGAGCTTTACAGACTACACAGTGTTTTGTAAAGCAACTTGCCTGAAGTCAGTATGTGACTAGATGCAAATCCTATAGCCCTCGTTTGAATTCCATTTATTCTGACGGACATCTCTTCAGAAGAGAGTTACAAAAATCTTGTCTACGCCCACTGAGGAAGCTGATCAAGGATGTTGTGCTCAGACACACCAAAAGTAGCATTCCTTTAAAAACCTTTACATTTCCATGGAGTTCTTACAAAAATAAGCCAGGGCAAATCGAATTTCTTTTCCAACTCTCCACATTACATGTGGTTGCTGACATTGTTATGTCATGGGTGTTTAAAAAGGCATCTGATTAAAGAGTCATTATTTAAGAAAAACTCCATTATTGGCATCACAAATAATACCTTCATTAATTAAACTGAAAATGATCTTGGCTCATTAGAACCAAGCATGCTTCTACATGCAAGTGTCTTTTTCTGACCATTAGTCGCACACACACGTTTATACTGCCAGCACTCTGTTTTTACCATCAAAGCTTCTCCCCACCGGGAACCCCCCCCAAAACAAGACCAACCAAAACATCCACACAAAAAGCCACCCTTCTCTGCCCCCAAGCGTGTTTCTATTGGTTTTGCTTTTAAATTTGATCCAACATCTTTAACACCCCCATCCCTTCCTCAATCTCATTTGTGTTACATTAGATAAAAGCAGGGCTTAGTTTATTGGCTCCAACACTAAAGCTGGCTACCCATTTTTGTTCCAATTATACAGCAGAGAACTCTTCTTTTCACGGGCTGTTTTGTCCCAATTGTGCTATAGTATTAGCAGAAACCGAGGATTCTTGCAGTTACTGCGGCTGCTGGGGGTTGCAGGGCTCCAGGCGGAGCGCGGTGCGGGGCAGGCAGCCAGACGAGCTCGTCCCACCCTCTTCCGACATGTGACTTCCTTGTTTTCGATTCTCTGTCTGTGGCATGTTCGCGCAGGCAGCCAATAGAGGCAGCGCCTTGCAACTCACCAGTTCTGGAGGGAGCCAATCGTGCAGCAAGGAGCAAAGACAAACCTGCCTCCGCTGCGCCAGATCCAAACAGCTGAATCCTACCCGACAACAGCTGGAGGAGGGAGGCCTCTCCACTGCTCCCCTACCCCATGCATCAGGCAACAAGTTAAGAAAGCCCTTCACAGGTTAGCTCGCCATAGCTAGCCGAGCGGCAAGGATTTCTGGGTGATCTCTTCTTGACCCTGCCACCTAGCTGGAACAGGGTTAAATTAACCAAGTGTCTGCAGCGCAACAGCCAGTTCAATGAAGACACACCACCCTAGGAAATGCTTGCCTCTCGCCTCGTTTCTGGACCATCACAGTCACAGCTACAGCACTTTCACACGACCTACTCTAGCTAGAAAGAGCCGCTCCCCCGCTCTTCGGGGTGGGACTATTTAGGTTTGCCTAGAGCCAGCCGGGCACCACAAAATCCTTTGAAAGATGCCATGAGACAAGCAGGTAGCGCACAGGGTCAGGGTCCTCCGGCCCTCTCCTAGGAGGCACGCCCCGTCACAGGCTGGGTTTGGACCTGTGGTGCTGCCCAGGTCGCATCAGCAGGCAAGAGCCGCTCCCCCGCTCTTCGGGGTGGGACTATTTAGGTTTGCCTAGAGCCAGCCGGGCACCACAAAATCCTTTGAAAGATGCCATGAGACAAGCAGGTAGCGCACAGGGTCAGGGTCCTCCGGCCCTCTCCTAGGAGGCACGCCCCGTCACAGGCTGGGTTTGGACCTGTGGTGCTGCCCAGGTCGCATCAGCAGGCTGGGGGAGGAGGGGGGCCTGGTCCAGGTCAC